TAGCAAATGCAAAGGAGAAGTAAAGGGCCAGTGATTCACATCTGTTTCCCCTTAAGACACCCACACCCATTTTCTTCAAGACCCGCCCAGCATAACCCAGGACAAGAACTAACAGATTTAAACATTTATGGAACTTCCTGCTCTGGTCATGTGGCACAGAGATATTTGGAGTGGGTCCTGGGTGAGCTGCCATGTATTTGAGGCTCCGCCAGGGGCAAGCCCAAAGGACTGCCCTGAAAAAGCCACTCAAGATGGAGGCATGTGACTGCTCTGCTCTATGGGGGTGGGGGGAGTTCCAAAGGCATCAAGGGCTCGCTATGGGAGGCAAGAGACAAGAAGAGACCCATAGAATGGAGAGGAGAATGCTGTGTAGTTCCAGGCTCAGAAATCTCTGGGTTGCAGTTTACCAACGGGATGTGTGAAGCCTCCTAGTCAGATGCCAAGGGCAGTGGATGTAGAAACACACACACACACACACACACACACACACACACACACACACACACACACCCACAAAATCAGGGGTCTCTTCTTCCCCAAGACACTACCCACAAGCGACCAGGTTCATCACATCTGCCTATTACAAGGGATTGTGGGAGCCTTCGGATCAATACCCCAAACACATTTCTCTTACAAACACTGGGTTACTGCGGACAGGACCCTCCTCTAGAAATAGTATGAGGGTCTTCTGCACATCTCTCAAAGACTGGTACCGCACACAGCCCTGTGAGACAGGTACATGGCATGGTGAATGCACAGTGCCTGCTCTGAGTTTGAGTCATGGTTCTGCCACTCATCCCACTGGCAGCAACCTGAACCAGACCCTCATCTCCCTGGACCACCACCCCTCACCTACAGGAGGCTGGAGACAGCACCTGTCCTCTGGACAGTGAGGATTGAAGTATGTACATTTAGTTGGAGTTGCCTCGCATACAGTGGGAGTTCAGTGAGTTCTTCCCTTTCTCTTCTCACTCTCGTGACTCAGTTTCCCCATCTCAGTTCCAAATCTAAAGAGATCCAAAGCTCACCTCAGAAATGCCAAGAGCCCAGGCACTAACAGGCATCAACAAACAACTTTAAATTTATTAGCTACAACTGGGAGCCACGTCTCCTGCTGACTGGCTCCCTACCCTGAATTCTGTTTTTTCAGTGTGGAAAAAGGAGAAAGTGGTTTAGGCATATTCGGAGAAAGAGTAAACAGTCCACAGCCACCAGTTTTCTGGGCCTCTTGGGGCTGCTGGGCACTGCAGCGGTATACAAATAAGGTTACACAATGGGCTAGAGGCTCTAAGGCTGCTTGTCAATGTTCAGTGAACCAGTGAGCACAGTAGCTCTTTAAAATGTCTGGGAGTAATCTAAGTCACCACGGAGCTAGTAGGGACCAGTGCTCCTAGAGTTCCCCACCAGAGTTAAGCGGCACTTTTTCCTTAGATCTGCCTAGCTGCCTCATTTCATAGTAGCCACATTCTAAAGTTGGGTCGTTAGTACTGTGTCCCTTATAACAGTACCAATTCCCACCGTCCAAAGCCGCCTTGCTCTTAGTTGAAGTTTCTCCTGCCTGGCTCGCTCGTTACGCACTGGACCGCGTCTGGTAGCTGCTCTGATCCCGGTACCCAGTTCCAGGCAGCAGCTGTCTCTCCAGAGGGCTGCGAAGGTGCATTTTTCGCCACGAGGGTGGAGAGGCAATCACCCTAACCCTTCCCTAGCTTGAGCTTCCTGAGTATGTGGTGGGTACCTTTGCCAGGCTCGAACTTCCCAGAGCCCTTAAGGGTGTCTTATTTAGATCCCCCAAACTGGGAGCGACTGGTGGTGCATCCCTGACACCTAAAAGGCACCCAGCCTGTGGCCTGTTCTGTGCCGTCCCAGGAACTTCTCAACAACCCGCAGGGGAACAAGAAGAGGCTGGCATCCTCCACGCCAGAACCTTTCCTAGAGTACTCCTAATCCGGCCCATCTGAAGTCCCAGAAGGTAGAACCATGTGCCTGGAGAGGGCGCGCCTCTGTAGAACTCTAAACCAGGAAAGATTCGCCTCACCTGAGCGGGACGCGAATGGCCAGATACCTGTCGACGGCCACAGCCAAGAGGCTGAAGATGGAGCTCTGCGTGAGCACCAGCACGAAGCAGGCAAGGAAGAGGCAGCTGTGGAAGTCCGTGCAGAAGCCCAGGCTGATGGTGATGGCGAAGGGGA